GCCAAGACAGAAAAAAAATTGTAGACAGGTCTGGTTCATCCTTGGGAGCAATTTCCAAACGCCTGAAGGTACCAAGTTCATCTGCACAAACAATAGTATGCAAGTATAAACCCCATGGGAACCACGCAGCCGTCATACCGCTCAGGAAGGAGACGCATTCTGTCTCCTACAGAGGAACGTACTTTGGTGCGAAAAGTGCAAAACAATCCCATAACAACAGCAAAGGACCTTTTGAAGATGCTGGAGGAAACAGTTACAAAGGTATCTATATCCACAGTAAAACGAGTCCTATATCGACATAACCTGAAAGGACGCTCATTAAAGAAAAGCCACTGCTCCAAAACCGGCATAAAAAAGCCAGACCACGGTTTGCAACTGCACATGGGGACAAAGATCGTACTTTTTGGATACATTTACTCTGGTCTGATGATACAAAAATAGAACTGTTTGGCCATAATGACCATCGTTATGTTTGGAGGAAAAAGGGGAAGGCTTGCAAGCCGAAGAACACCATCCCAACCGTGAAGCACGGGGTGGCAGCATCATGCTGTGGCGGTGCTTTGCTGTAGGAGGGACTGGTGCACTTCACAAAATAGATGGCATCATGAGGAAGGAAAATTATGTGGATATATTGAAGCAACATCTCAAGACATCAGTCAGGAAGTTAAAGCTTGGTCGCAAATGGGTCTTCCAAATTGACAATGACCCCAAGCATACTTCCAAAGTTGTGGCAAAATGGCTTAAGGACAACAAAGTCAAGGTATTGGAATGGCCATCACAAAGCCCTGACCTCAATCCTATAGAAAATGTGTGGGCAGAACTGAAAAAGCGTGTGCGAGCAAGGAGGCCTACAAACCTGACTCAGTTACACCAGCTCTGTCAGGAGGAATGGGCCAACATTCACCCAACTTATTGTGGGAAGCTTGTGGAAGGCTACCTGAAACATTTGACCCAAGTTAAACAATTTAAAGGCAATGCTACCAAATACTAATTGAGTGTATGTAAACTTCTGACCCATTTAGAATGTGATTAAAGAAATAAAAGCTGAAAAAATCATTCTCTCTACTATTATTCTGACATTTCACATTCTTAAAATAAAGTGGTGATCCTAACTGACCTAAAACAGGGAATTTTTACTAGGATTAAATGTCAGGAATTGTGAAAAACTGAGTTTAAATGTATTTGGCTAAGGTGTATATAAACTTCCGACTTCAACTGTATGTTGTGAAATTGTTAGATAATACTTGTTAGATATTACTGCACTGTCGGAGCTAGAAGCACAAGCATTTCGCTACACCCGCAATAACATATGCTAAACATGTGTATGTGACCAATAAGATTTGATTGATTGATTTGAAGGGTGAGGGATTCTGAGAGGATCCCTGTGAATAGTAGATCTGTGCCAGAACAGAGGGATAGGCCAATGAGTGATATATGTTTCAGAAAGGTTGGCTTCTTAGCATTCATAGCAATGGTTATCAACTGTACTGCAGAGATGGAACGTAAGTCACACAAAATAGATGTTGTGTTGGCAGCTGTAGAGAAGTACTTGGGGTACGAGATTTGACTTCAGAATAATTACAGGGTGTGTTGAGTGGTAGTGTCCCATCCTCTCAAGCCGTTGGCCTGGGGTAGGGTCAGATAGGGTTAAAGTAGTGGAATAAGGTGGTGGGTTTTAATGAGTAGAGGGTTAGTTGGTAGGGTAATTAAAAATATATTTTTTTATTTCTGGTTCCCCTTTTCCATTTTGTATCATAAAGTGTAATGGAGCTATACTATAGTTCAGTTGGGGGTGGTAATACAACATATTGGATGTCAACCGCCATTAAACCCCACCAAAGAAGAAGAAGACACTCTCATTGACCCCCATACAAAAACTCATTGCTTGGTGGGTGAAACAACGCGAACAAAGAAAATGGCGTCCCTTGAGAAAGCAAGAACAAGATGTATATCAGGAGAAGTGCAGTATTATCATAAGGAGACGTATACTTGGAATACGGAGGAGGATTGGAGGGAAAAAGAGAGGCAGGGGAGGTCTAAGAGAGAGAGAGAGAGGAAGATTGTGAGTTTGAGTCGGTTAAAAATGGCGGAAAAAAAGGGATAAGGATGTTAAAAAAGATTGGTAGAAAAAGTAAGCAGAGTGAGCTGAAGACAGGAGGAGAAATGAAAGTGAATGAGGGTGAAGTATCGGAGGTGGTAGGTGTGGTGAAGTACTCGGAGCCCGAGGCTTGCACCGAGGGTCAGGATAAAGATGAGTCTGTGTCAGTACGAGTTAAGTTTTTGGAAAAAGTGGACCATTGCCTTTTGGCTGATCCATTTGTGGTTTCAGGTTGGGTGAAAAAATAGTTGGGTATAGTGGAATCGGTGAGGGTAACCAGAAGTGGTCTAGTGATAATTGTTTGTGTTTCTGCTGGTCAGAGAGAGAAGGCTCTCAGAGTTAAACAAATGGGTGCAAGAAATTTAAATTGTTTCGCTCTCAAGAAAAGGGCCCCATTGAAAGGACTGATTACTGGGGTAGCTGTAAATGTAAAAGTTGACCAACTGAAGGGGAAGATTCCCGGTGTTTGTGATGCTCGTCGTTTGGTGCAATGCAAACAGGGTGGCGAGAGTGGGGAAACAGAAGAGTCATTGTCTGTTCTTTTTAGTTTTGAAGCTGAGGCTTTGCCTGACAAAGTGAAGTTAGGATATATAAGTTATCCTGTACGAGCTTACAGTGGGGAAAAAAAGTATTTAGTCAGCCACCAATTGTGCAAGTTCTTCCACTTAAAAAGATGAGAGAGTCCTGTAATTTTCATCATAGGTACACGTCAACTATGACAGACAAATTGCATTGAAGGATTTTTTATGAATTTATTTGCAAATTATGGTGGAAAATAACTATTTGGTCACCTACAAACAAGCAAGATTTCTGGCTCTCACAGACCTGTAACTTCTTCTTTAAGAGGCTCCTCTGTCCTCCACTCGTTACCTGTATTAATGGCACCCGTTTGAACTTGTTATCAGTTGATTTCTTGGTTTGAAGAAATCAACTGTGGGAGCAATTATTAGGAAATGGAAGACATACAAGACCACTGATAATCTCCCTCGATCTGGGGCTCCACGCAAGATCTCACCCCGTGGGGTCAAAATGATCACAAGAACGGTGAGCAAAAATCCCAGAACCACACGGGGGAACCTAGTGAATGACCTGCAGAGAGCTGGGACCAAAGTAACAAAGCCTACCATCAGTAACACACTATGCCGCCAGGGACTCAAATCCTGCAGTGCCAGACGTGTCCCCCTGCTTAAGCCAGTACATGTCCAGGCCCGTCTGAAGTTTGCTAGAGTGCATTTGGATGATCCAGAAGAGGATTGGGAGAATGTCATATGGTCAGATGAAACCAAAATATAACTTTTTGGTAAAAACTCAACTCGTCGTGTTTGGAGGACAAAGAATGCTGAGTTGCATCCAAAGAACACCATACCTACTGTGAAGCATGGGGGTGGAAACATCATGCTTTGGGGCTGTTTTTCTGCAAAGGGACCAGGACGACTGATCCGTGTAAAGGAAAGAATGAATGGGGCCATGTATCATGAGATTTTGAGTGAAAACTTCCTTCCATCAGCAAGGGCATTGAAGATGAAACGTGGCTGGGTCTTTTCAGCATGACAATGATCCCAAACACACCGCCCGGGCAACGAAGGAGTGGCTTCGTAAGAAGCATTTCAAGGTCCTGGAGTGGCCTAGCCAGTCTCCAGATCTCAACCCCATAGAAAATCTTTTGGAGGGAGTTGAAAGTCATGTTGCCCAGCGACAGCCCCAAAACATCACTGCTCTAGAGGAGATCTGCATGGAGGAATGGGCCAAAATTCCAGCAACAGTGTGTGAAAACCTTGTGAAGACTTACAGAAAACGTTTGACCTGTGTCATTGCCAACAAAGGGTATATAACAAAGTATTGAGAAACTTTTGTTATTGACCAAATACTTATTTTCCACCATAATTTGCAAATAAATTCATTAAAAAATCCTACAATGTGATTTTCTGGAGAAAAATAATCTCATTTTGTCTGTCATAGTTGACGTGTACCTATGATGAAAATTACAGGCCTTTCTCATCTTTTTAAGTGGGAGAACTTGCACAATTGGTGGCTGACTAAATACTTTTTTTCCCCCACTGTATGTGCCGAATACATTACGATGTTACAGGTGTCAAACTTATGGGCATGGGGCAGCAGTGTGTAGGAGGGAGGTTCCTAGGTGTGAGAAATGTGCAGAAGGGCATGAGATAAAAGACTGTGTAGCATTGGGGAAAGTAGTGGTATGTGCTAATTGTAGGGGTGCCCATGGGACTGGGGATCAGAAATGTCCCGTGCGAGAGAGGCAGGTTGAGGTTTCCAGGGTAAGAGTAGTGAATAAGTTGTCATATGCTGAGGCAGTGAAGAAAGTAGAGGAAGAGGGGTCAAGGGGGAGGAGTGGTGAGAGTAGTAGGTATGTACCAGTACAGAGGGATAGGCCAACAAGTGATATATGTTTCAGTAAGATTGGATTTTTAGCATTTATAGCAATGGTTATTAATTATACTGCAGGGATGGAATGTAAGTCGAAGAAAATTGAGGTTGTGGTGGCAGCTGCAGAGAGGTATTTGGGTGTGCGAAACTTGACATCAGAAGAGTTACAGGGAGTGTTAGGTAGTGATGTCCCATCATTTCAGGTTGAGGGCATGAGGTAGGAATGAATATATTTAAATAGTGGAGTAGGGTGGTGTTAATTATTAATAATATTTTTTGAATTAGTGAGTGTAGTGTTAGATGGTAGGGTATTTCTTTACTTTGTTTTTCAAGCAAAATATAAGGGAGTTGTACTCCAGTCTAGTAGGTGGCGGTAATGCAACAAATTGGATGCCAACCGCCGTTAAACCTCATCGAAACAACGCCACCTGCTGTGCTGGAGGGAGACACATTTCCGCAGAGTTGGGCTTCTTTCTTCCTCTCTGCTGACGCGAAGCCGGTGAACGACAACATGCCTGCCGTAGTTATAATGGATGAAAATTATGATAAACTTTTAGAGCAGTGCCAAACACAGGAGCTTGAGGTAGTTATATCCAAGTATTTCATCAAACGTGTGTAACTTGCAGCTTTAAATGTGTCAGTATTCGCGAAGAGAATCTCTTTGGTTTGTGTGTTTTAACTTAGCTAGCTGGTAGGTGTGCTAGCTAGCTATCCGTCCAAACACACTAACGTTAGCGAACATAACATAGCTAGCTAACTAGGTCATAACATTAAATTGAGCACAGCTAACTCTGCATTTAACGTGCGAGAAAGTAGCTAGCTAACCACACACACATTCAAATATCACAGATTGTCTTGAGCATTTAATTTAGCGGCACAGGGAAGCAGCTGGATAATGTTTTTTCCTAGCTAGGTTTTGTGGGTAAAGTAATATGCGCAGAACGTTAAGGTTTAGTGCACAGCCACAGGAAAAGGCTTCCTGGATGGGGCGGTTAGATCAGGTCGTGCAGGCTCAGCCAGCCTAATAGATGTCAATTTAATAATGTGCCTATCTTAAGTCATGAGGGTACAACGTTTGGAACGTCATTAGCCAAGTTTCCATCCAACAGGAAATGGCGGTACAATTTCATGAATGTCAACAGACAATTTGTTCATTCGACATGGTGGAATCTTTTTGTCTGTAAAACAAATTATGCGAGAAATGTGGGTGGAATAATCATATCGAAGTAAACTTGGAGTCACGCGATGATATGTTATCTGGTCCTCCCACTCCGATTTGGGAACGCAGACAGTTTAAGTTATGAACTTCACAGGGTAGTGAAGTGTACGGTGAGGAGCTTGATGTACCTTTCTAATAAATATCGAGGGTCTTATTCTGGTGACATGATGATTGATGCTTGGCTGCCGTTTGACAAATACAAATAATCTCGCTCTTATCTATAATAATCGAATGTAGGCTAGCCTACCCACACTGTATCTGCGAACTGTTGACTAGAGCTCACATGCGAAGACCAGAGTGGGCACATTTGCTATTTAACGCAACATGTTTTGTTACCAAATCCATATGTAGAGTTGAAAATGCGATGGAAACACATTGAAGTTTTGATTTGAATTCAGTACATGAAAACGTCATATTCATCATCTCCAGCACCACCTCTACATATGTGAAAATGGCCCGTTTCTGTTTTGTGGAAAAAATATATTCAATCTTGAATATGAAGTTGAGAAATGGTGATATTTCCCTTTTAAGCGAAAAAGTGCCTTTTATGTGCACTACGTAGTGCTTTATCCGCAACAAGTCAGTTTGATGGAAACACCATTGGTGGGAAAATATTTTTTTATGCATATTTTAGAATGTTCGCATGAAAATCTGTCGCGAATTGGATTGAAACCTAGCTATTGGCTTGCATGGTCTGACTGTAGACCTTGACTAATTGTTTGTTTTATTGCCAGGCTCCAGGTGGAATTGCAACCCCTCAAGTGTATGCCCAGCTGTTGGCGCTCTATCTACTGCACAATGACATGTAAGTCAGGTTTTCTATAGGCCTAGCCCTTCTAAAGATAAGGTTTTCTGACCATTGAAACATGGTTGGAATTAAAGGGGAATGGAAACACTTTTGAAAGTAAAGCTAAGAAGATAGATGTGTTCAATCCACCAATACTAAACATGCATTTTAGATAGTAACATCTGTTTTTAGGATTTTGATCTTGAACAATGTTTATTAGAAGTATGGGTAGCACCATCTTGAATTGCCATAGTAACGACTGACGCCAATGCGTCATTGGTAGGATTGAGCAAATTGTGAGTTGTGGCGCGGAGACTGAAAGTGAATGCTGCCACTGGGAGGCGCCTGGCCTCCACTGGACCTGAAAGGTTTCTCACAACTTTGACAGCTCTCTTATTGAGATCAGGACAACAACATTAAGGTAAAAAACTGTATACAATCCGTTTTTATGCTGGCAATCATAATATTTACATTTTAGAGTTTTTTCAGATTGATAAAATGAGTCAGTGGAATTAACTTTTGATAACAAGCCGCGTACGTTAGACGGTCAGCCAAAACGAGGCAAGGTAGCTAGCCAGCCTACTTGGTTTAGCGCTTCTCTTTTTGATGTTAATGTTTTTTTTTTTATATAGCTGTACAAAATAAAATGCTCATATTGACAATTTGAACAGCATTTGTCATTAGGTGTTAGCTAGAGCTTAAACTAGCTAGTGACTCAATCTGTAGCCAGTCAGTGAGGGCTGTTGCAGGATTGCTATTTTACCAGTAAAATGCAGCTAGCTATGATCCCCATAGCTATAATATGTAGCTAGCCAGTCAGTGAGGGCTGTTGCAGGATTGCTATTTTACCAGTAAAATTAAGCTAGCTATGATCCCCATAGCTATAATTGTTAGCTAGCTAGATAACTACATAGCTAGATATCTCATTAGGTGTCTGTTTATCTGTGATATGATTCCTAAAAATAGTAGCTAAGCCTGCTGGCTGTTGATTGCAATAATTAATGTAGCCTAAGCCTGAAGCCTAACCCTTAGCCTAACCCTTAGAATGACTTTTGAAAGCTCAGTCTCGTAGTCAGTTTGGTAACTATTTCATCCTGGACCCGGTTTCCCAATAGCGATGGAACTTAAGCTTACGAGTGTTTTTAACGATGCATCTTTCCTAAAATGGCTGAAGATGTAACATGAGTTTCCCAAAACACCACGCAGAGAGAATGGTCGCTAAGTGCGTCGTTGGAGCATGTGCCGATACTGATAGGATCGAAAGAAAGAGAGCGCTGCTTTCGGGTGAGCTTTCTCCATTCAAATTGTAGCTTAACATTATAATTATTTCACAATACTGACGACTGATGTAGGTGGTAATATCTTCTAGAGATATTACCACCTACGGCTGCAAATATTGAAGTGTCTTATTCTAGTGGTTACCTAATAAAAATTAACAAAATCACAAATTTGGCACTATATTGCGCCCGTTAGGCTACACAGCATGAAATATATTGAGACAAATTACAGACAGTAGCCTACAAGTAGCAAAATAGAACTCAATTGATTGAACATTAAATGTATTTCAATATGATTGCAATAAAATAAACTGTAGGCTATAGGCCTATTTCAGTCATCTCGGTTTTCATTTGAAGCATACTTTTATACATCACTTGTTTGTGTCAATTGCAAAGACATTGGCAACTTTGTATCTGAAGTTGTAGGCCGTCAGAGAGACGGATAAACCATGTGATTAGCGGAATCTTCTGTGTATAAAGTGACGTGTGAGGGCAAAAAGCATCTAATGACGTACTTAGCTGTTCTACGAATGGCATCAGGCAGGCATTTGGATTACGAGCGTTTTCAAGTGCAACGTTAATAACGATGGTTTTGGGAAACATGCTACTACAAAGGTTCTTACGATGAACTTATCCTTAAGATGCTTTTGGGAAACTGGGCCCTGGTCTAGCTAGCTGGTTTGTGACTTTGCTACTTACAGACATACATTATCATATTATTTCAGTTATGGACTATCAGATATTAAATTATGTAAAGTTTTCTCAATTGTTTGAGTGATCCTTTTGGATAATAAAATGTGACGTTGTCACCTTGCAAGCCGATTGATAACATGTAGCTACACAATTCCCTTACATGAATGATTCCCTTTTTTATGTGCTGAAGGAGGCTTAACATTTATGTACATGGAAAAAATTGATTTAAATATTATTCCAATGTTGGCCTCTCTTATCGTAGTCATAGAGTTTTGTGTGATTTTTATTTTACTTGTCATTCGGACAGAATAAATCTATATTCTTCTTGTCTGACTTTTTTTTTTTTGTACTGGTCAAGAGGACAAGCATTAATGTCGATCCCTACATTGGCTTTGTGGTTAGTGTCCACCCTGAGACAAGCGTCTGCTTGGCACTCTGCATTAAGGAGATAGATTGGGGGTAAGGCCCTGCGATAGACCTTTTTATTGTTATTATATGCCTAATTCGTATCCTATTTTGTAATTCCAGCTCACTTTGGTGACAATATCCCTGAGATTAATGTTGTATGTTACTTGCACTTTGTTTTCAGGTTTGAATGAGACAATGTATTCCCCTAACTTTATTCTTTCAATAAAGTTATTGTTTTATTAATATTATATTGTGTATGTCTTTCGTTGTCATATGTAAGACTAAATGCCATTTGTAATATGTTTCGGTGCATATACACTACATGGCCAAAAGTATGTGGACACCTGCTCGTTGAACATCTCATTCCAAAATCATGTGCATTAATATGGAGTTGGTCCCCCCTTTTCTGCTATAACAGCCTCTACTCTTCTGGGAAGGCTTTCCACTAGATGTTGGAACATTACTGTGGGGACTTGCTTTCATTCAGCCACAAGCATTATTGAGGTCTGGCACTGATGTTGGGTGATTTAGGCCTGGCTCGCAGTCGGCGTTCCAATTCGTCCCAAAGGTGTTTTATGGGGTTGAGGTCAGGGCTCTGTGCAGGCCAGTTAAGTGGTTACACACCGATCTCGATAAACCATTTCTGTATGGACCTTGCTTTGTGCATTGGGGCATTGTCATGCTGAAACAGGAACGGGCCTTCCCCAAACTGTTGCCACAAAGTTGGAAGCACAGAATCGTCTAGAATGTCATTGGATGCTGTAGCGTTCACTGGAACTAAGGGCCTAGCCCAAACCATTATGCCTACTTCACCAAACTTTACAGTTGGCACTATCAATTGGGGCAGGTAGCGTTCTCCTGGCATCTGCCAAACCCAGATTCGTCTGTCGGAATGCCAGATGGTGAAGTGTGTTTCATAACTCTGTAGAACGCGTTTCCACTGCTCTAGAGTCCAATGGCGGCGAGCTTTACACAACTCCAGCCGACGCTTGGCATTGCGCATGATGATCTTAGGCTTGTGTGCGGCTGCTCGGCCATGAACCCATTTCATGAAGCTCCCGACGAAGAGTTATTGTGCTGACGTTGCTTCCAGAGACAGTTTGGTACTCTGTGGTGAGTGTTGCAACCGAGGACAGGAGAGTTTTACGCGCTTCACTCGGCAGACCTGTTCTGTGAGCTTGTGTGGCCTACAACTTCGTGGCTGAGACGTTATTGCTCCTAGACGTTTCCACTTCACAATAACAGCGCTTAGAGTTGACCGGGGCAGAAATGTGACGAACTGACTTGTTGGAAAGGTGGCATCGTCATAGGAGCTCTTCAGTAAGCCCATTCTACTGCCAATGTTTGTCTATGGAGATTGCATGGCTGTGTGCTTGAATTTATACACCTGTCCGCAATGGGTGTGGCTGAAATAGCCAAATCCACTAACTTGAAGGGGTGTCCACATACTTTTGTATGTTTTTAACATACTATCCAGAGAGTGTCTGATAACAGAAGATTCCATAGAATTCTAGAAAAATACCACCGTCACTAAAACGGCTGGAACTCATTCACAGTAAAAGGTATTACCATTCTGATTTCAGATTATCTATCCTTACTAAAAAATGAAGACTCAATGCTCTTAAGTTTTTCTCCATCTTCATTAGGAAGTTGTGTAAATGGCAGTTTGGTGGGGAAAAAACGTTGATTTCTTTCTGTATGATACACATTTTCACAGGTATTTCACAGGTGTTTTGGTATGTCATAGCATTTGATAGGGCTGTTTCTGTGTTAGCTGGTGTTCTAAAGCCTAGTGTTTCCTTTCCCCTTTAATTGTCAGATGACTTTTGTTACTCTTTTTACAGGAATAATGCCAGGTACCTGTGGAAGCGAATTCCTCAAGCCATTAAATCGGTGAGAATGTTTAGGGTTAGCATTTATCTAATATATTTATACTGAACAAAAATATAAACGCAACATGCAACAATTTCAACGATCTTACTGAGTTACAGTTAGTATAAGGAAATCAGTCCCTAATCTATGTATTTCACATGACTGGGCAGGGGCGCAGCCATGGGTGGGCCTTGGAGGTCATAGGCCCACCCACTTGGGAGCAAGGCCCAGCCAATCAGAATGAGTTTTCCCCCACAAAAGGGCTTTATTACAGACCTTAATACTCCTCCGTTTCATCAGCTGTCCGGTGGCTGGTCTGACAATCCCACAGGTGAAGAAGCCGGATGTGAAGTTCCTGGGCTCGCATGGTTTCACATGGTCTGCGCTTGTGAGGCCGGTTGGACGTACTGCCAAATTCTCTAAAACGACATTGGAGGCGGATTTTGGTTGAAAAATCCACCTTCAACTCACTGGCAACAGCTCTGGTGGACATTCCTGCAGTCAGCATGCCAATTGCACGCTCCATCAAAACTTGAGGAATCTTCGGCATTGTGTTGTGACAAAACTGCACATTTTAGAGTGGCTTTTTATTGTCCCCAGCACAAGTTGCACCTGTGTAATGATCATGCTGTTTAATCAGCTTATTGATATGCCACACCTGTCAGGTGGATGGATTATCTTGGCAAAGGAGAAATGCTCACTAACAGGGATGTAAACAAATTTGTGCACAACATTTGAGGAAAACTTTTTTGTGCGTATTGAACATTTATGGGGTATTTTTATTTCAGCTCATGAAACATGGGACCAACACTTTACATGTTGCGTTTTATATTTTTGTTCAATATAGATAGCTGAGGCACAAGTTTGTAAATGTGTTTGTGTATAAAGCTTATTTTTTGTTAGACAATCAAAACGAGTTAAAGCTATACTGGGAACTCAACTCTTGAATAGGTAGGCCAGTCATTGTATAATTTCCCACATTGAAGATGGTAGTACAAAAGTGGGACCTGTCCTGCACATGGAATTGCTTCAACACATGAGAATGAGTGTACTCAACGTCTCCCTAGCAACAAGACTCATAGTCTGCATATCGTTTAGTATAGTCTAGGCACCAATGTATGTTAAAGTCGATGAAGTCGGTTGAAACGTGGTGTGTGCAGGGAAACCCAGAGCTGACGGCCGTGTGGGCCGTGGGTCAGCGCATATGGCAGCGAGACTTCCCAGGGATCTACTCGGCCATCGCAGCTCACCAGTGGTCTGAGAACATCCTGCCCGCCATGGATGCCCTGCGAGGTACTGTAATAGCCGTGCACTTTTCTGTGACCAATTGTACACACCTGACCTGAATGATGGACTAACAATTTAAAACACATCCTACACACCTCTGTGGCGCAACATGCATTTATAGCACAATGTGGCTGATCACACAGTTTTGTGACTGAGGGCCCTACTCAAACAATATTGGTTACTGGGTCAAAAATAACATTTGACTTGCAGAGCATCTCTGAGTAAGCATGCCATTTTTGTTTCAAGTGTATTGCTTAGTACCCTACACATTCATCCAAATGTCTATTCTTGTGAGAAAAACATTGTTTTTGACATATTCTGGGGACTCTGTTACCGGGTGTAATTGAATATGCAACATATTGTTTGACTGACTGCAGACTTGTTTAAGGCTCACTGTATTGACCTAGTGAGACTGACTGAACTCATGGCTAGGCCACGTCTCTCACCTCTGACCGACTTTCTATAATCATAGCCTAAACCTGAGGCTAGACGAGAAGATGTTTAGCGGTTCACACAATCAGCAGCTTCATTAGAAGTTTGTTCATGTTAGAATTGATAGGGAATTTGCTTTGGACAATTGGTAGCAAGATGATTATAAATTTAAATATGTTGTGTAGTTAATGTGCACAATGTTTTTCCAGAATTGTAATATAGTACATTTTGTAATGTCTTTCACATTGCAGCCCGCTGCCTATTGAGGGTTCTCCATTATCAAAAGAGGGCGCGCCACTTGCATCCTACATACATTGTAACCAAGCCATAAAGTGGTTATGGAGGGCAAAGAACAATACAGAAAAGGGAGCTTAAAAAGCTTTTGTAATACCTCATTGAAAATGAATAGGTTATTTGTCCACTCACAAATTGTCCCATTGATGCACAGCATGATAGGATACAGTTGGCCTAGTTTAATGTAGCCCTCTAAAGCTCTTTACATTGATGAGGCATGACTGTAAGTCACTTTGGATAAAAGCGTCTGCTAAATGGCATATTATTATTATTATTATGAGGCTTGAGGAGATTATCGCAAGATTCTTAAGTGGTATTGAGTAGAGGGCTGTGGCGGTCACAATTTTGTCAGCCGGTGATTGTCAAGCAAATAACTGTCGGTCTCACTGTAATTGACTGTTAATTAACATAAACACATTTAGCATCTCCTGGCTTCCACTACAAGCCATTTTAAAAAGTCGAATAAATCCTTTTAATATAGCCTGCACCTTCACAATAAATCCATTTTATTTTAGATCGGTCTAAAGAAGCATGATATGAAGAAAATGTAGTCTATTTCAGAAGAAAATAATAGCATACTCTGAGTTGTCCTGATGTGGCTATGCCAAGTGGCTGTGGGCTACACTAGTTAATTTAGCAGGCAAGATTTGCTTATAATTCCGTGGCATTATTTTATGTTATTTTATAGTATGAAGAATACAATTGAACAAAGCTGAATAAAATATAAATATTTTCTCCAAACGATTTGAGGGAGTGCGCACATCCGGCTATTCTGTGTTGAGCGGTTAACAAAGAAATAGCTACTCCTATATGCTTAATTTAGAGTTATTCATGTAACTTTAGTTGTTCTACAAATGTCGGGCTATATGTTTTGATTTTTAGTACATTGTAAGGCTGCATGATGAGACTAATGATTTGAAAAAAGTCGCTTGAAAAGGCATGAGCTCTGCTTTGTTTTTTGCGCAGGCTGTACACACTCCAATAGTCTCCCTGAGTGTGCTGCACAATCCGTAGCGTCTCTCACTCACATGGCTCTCCGTCACATGATCGGGTCTTTCTCACAGGCTACATATAAATGAAGACAGACACATCGGGGACGCAACTGCGCGCGTCCTTATCCAATTCCGAGGTGCATATTGAAGATATTGGAAGAACTGTCCACATTTACTTTCCGTCATCCAACAAGATGAGTAGGCCTAACGAACAGCAAAAGCACTAGCCTATGTCAATCTACTATCCCCCATACTACAAAAGTTGACCTATTCTGTGCGAGAAATAAATATTCCAAACATAGTCTGGGACAGTTGTGGGATGCGATAGATCCCAAATTAATACAACCACTAGCATCCCAAAAACGTTTTGATGCAATATGGCTGACGCAACAGATCAGAACGTTTAGCTTAAAATGTTGATAAACTATTAGGCTATTTCTTCACATTATAAGCGCAGCAATGCACACATGGTAGTAGGCTATAAGCGCAAATTTTCCATTAGCGGAAAACACCATTATCAAAAGAGACAGCAAATGCAATTATGCATGTAATGCTTTTATTATAAAGGTGAATTTTTATGGTGAAAATGATCTTCCCCAAACTTTAAACTCACGCGCTGCTTATGTATGCCAGTTAGGCTCTACACCCCTTGTAAATCGGATTAATGTGCTTAATTTTAAGAAGTTATTTGGCCACTTTAGTTGTGATACAAACCTTATTAGGTAGGCTACATGAGGTGTGCGACTTTGATTAAAAAAAGTCACAAAAAAGTGATAATATATCATTCACAATTGAAAGGCTAATATTGTCACCCATCAGACTATTCTTGATTTAATCTGGTCTTTACATATACTAAATACTATATGTGTGACATTTGTTTTGAATTAGAATGGATCATTATCATGCACCTGTATCGAAACAGGAGCAGTGGGAAAAAATACATCTATGCACATAAATAGCGAATGAAGGATGCTTTTCCCGTGGTTTATTTTAATGCTAGCCAGGTAGGCTATACTCTTGTTGTAAATATAAGCAATGTGCTTAATATTAGGAAAGTTGAGAAATAAATATAGTAGGCCTACTAGCCTATAGAAAGCTGATGGGATCCTATTATTTTTATTAGCGGCAATCACTCTGTTTTCTCCCACAATTCCATAGCCTATAGAAATGTTGCGCAACATGAGCTCATGGGCTCTCATTAAGTGTTTGATTAGATTTTCGAAAACATTTGCATTGATGTCAGAGTGATTAGAGGGACAATAGAGTGCTGAGTACCAGGCAGTTCAAATCAAATTTTATTTGTCACATACATGTGTTTAGCAGATGTTATTGCGGGTGTAGTGAAATGCTTGTGCTTCTAGCTCCGACAGTGCAGTAATATCTAACAAGTAATATCTAATATTTTCACAACATATCCAATGAGGGAAAAAAGTATTTGATCCCCTGCTGATTTTGTACGTTTGCCCACTGACAAAGAAATGACCAGTCTATAATTTTAATGGTAGGCTTATTTGAACAGTTAGAGACAGAATAACAACAAAAAAATCCAGAAAAACGCATGTCAAAATTTTTATAAATTGATTTACATTTTAATGAGGGAAATAAGTATTTGACCCCCTCTCAATCAGAAAGATTTCTGGCTCCCAGGTGTCTTTTATACAGGTAACGAGCTGAGATTAGGAGCACAATCTTAAAGGGAGTGCTCCTAATCTCAGTTTGTTACCTGTATAAAAGACACCTGTCCACAGAAGCAACCAATCAATCAGATTCCAAACTCTCCACCATGGCCAAGACCAAAGAGCTCTCCAAGGATGTCAGGTACAAGATTGTAGACCTACACAAGGCTGGAATGGGCTACAAGACCATCGCCAAGCAGCTTGGTGAGAAGGTGACAACAGTTGGTGCGATTATTCGCAAATGGAAGAAACACAAAAGAACTGTCTATCTCCCTCGGCCTGGGGCTCCATGCAAGATCTCACCTTGTGGAGTTGCAATGATCATGAGAACGGTGAGGAATCAGCCCAGAACTACACGGGAGGATCTTGTCAATGATCTCAAGGCAGCTGGGACCATAGTCACCAAGAAAACAATTGGTAACACACTACACCGTGAAGGACTGAAATCCTGCAGCGCCCGGAAGGTCCCCCTGCTCAAGAAAGCACATATACATGCCCGTCTGAAGTTTGCCAATGAACATCTGAATGATTCAGAGGAGAACTGGGTGAAAGTGTTGTGGTCAGATGAGACCAAAATCGAGCTCTTTGGCATCAACTCAACTCGCCGTGTTTGGAGGAGGAGGAATGCTGCCTATGACCCCAAGAATACCATCCCCGCTGTCAAACATGGAGGTGGAAACATTATGCTTTGGGGGTGTTTTTCTGCTAAGGGGACAGGACAACTTCACAGCATCAAAGGGACGACGGACGGGGCCATGTACCGTCAAATCTTGGGTGAGAACCTCCTTCCCTGGTTTGTGGATGGGTATTCCAGCATGACAATGACCCAAAACACACGGCCAAGGCAACAAAGGAGTGGCTCAAGAAGAAGCACTTATCATGTTTTGCAGAGGGGTCAAATACTTATTTCCCTCATTAAAATCCAGGCTCTGTCGTAGCCGGCCACGACCGGGAGACCCATGGGGCGGCGCACAATTGGCCCAGCGTCGTCCAGGGTAGGGGAGGGAATGGCCGGCAGGGATGTAGCTCAGTTGGTAGAGCATGGCGTTTGCAACACCAGGGTTGTGGGTTCGATTCCCACGGGGGGCCAGTATGAAAAAATAAATGACTAAAATGTAAATGTAAAATGCAAATCAATTTATAACATTTTTGACATGCGTTTTTCTTGATTTTTTTGTTGTTATTCTGTCTTTCACTGTTCAAATAAACCTACCATTAAAATTATAGACTGATCATGTCTTTGTCAGTGGGCAAACGTACAAAATCAGCAGGGGATCAAATACTTTTTTCCCTCACTGTACCCAATACACACAAATCTAGTAAGGAATGGAATTTAAGAATGCTTGTCAATATATGTACAGTGGGGAAAAAAAGTATTTAGTCAGCCACCAATTGTGCAAGTTCTCCCACTTAAAAAGATGAGAGAGGCCTGTAATTTTCATCATAGGTACACGTCAACTATGACAGACAAAATGAGAAGAAAAAATCCAGAAAATCACATTGTAGGATTTGTAATGAATTTATTTGCAAATTATGGTGGAAAATAAGTATTTGGTCAATAACAAAAGTTTCTCAATACTTTGTTCTATACCCTTTGTTGGCAATGACACAGGTCACAAGGTTTTCACACACTGTTGCTGGTATTTTGGCCCATTCCTCCATGCAGATCTCCTCTAGAGCAGTGATGTTTTGGGGCTGTCGCTGGGCAACACGGACTTTCAACTCCCTCCAAAGATTTTCTATGGGGTTGAGATCTGGAGACTGGCTAGGCCACTCCAAGACCTTGAAATGCTTCTTACGAAGCCACTCCTTCGTTGCCCGGGCGGTGTGTTTGGGATCATTGTCATGCTGAAAGACCCAGCCACGTTTAATCTTCAATGCCCTTGCTGATGGAAGGAGGTTTTCACTCAATCTCACGATACATGGCCCCATTCATTCTTTCCTTTACACGGATCAGTCGTCCTGGTCCCTTTGCAGAAAAACAGCCCCAAAGCATGATGTTTCCACCCCCATGCTTCACAGTAGGTATGGTGTTCTTTGGATGCAACTCAGCATTCTTTGTCCTCCAAACACGACGAGTTGAGTTTTTACCAAAAAGTTATATTTTGGTTTCATCTGACCATATGACATTCTCCAAATCCTCTTCTGGATCATCCAAATGCACTCTAGCAAACTTCAGACGGGCCTGGACATGTACTGGCTTAAGCAGGGGGACACGTCTGGCACTGCAGGATTTGAGTCCCTGGCGGCGTAGTGTGTTACTGATGGTAGGCTTTGGTACTTTGGTCCCAGCTCTCTGCAGGTCATTCACTAGGTCCCCCCGTGTGGTTCTGGGATTTTTGCTCACCGTTCTTGTGATCATTTTGACCCCACGGGGTGAGATCTTGCGTGGAGCCCCAGATCGAGGGAGATTATCAGTGGTCTTGTATGTCTTCCATTTCCTAATAATTGCTCCCACAGTTGATTTCTTCAAACCAAGCTGCTTACCTATTGCAGATTCAGTCTTCCCAGCCTGGTGCAGGTCTACAATTTTGTTTCTGGTGTCCTTTGACAGCTCTTTGGTCTTGGCCATAGTGGAGTTTGGAGTGTGACTGTTTGAGGTTGTGGACAGGTGTCTTTTATACTGATAACAAGTTCAAACAGGTGCCATTAATACAGGTAACGAGTGGAGGACAGAGGAGCCTCTTAAAGAAGAAGTTACAGGTCTGTGAGAGCCAGAAACCTTGCTTGTTTGTAGGTGACCAAATACTTATTTTCAACCATAATTTGCAAATAAATTCATAAAAAATCCTACAATGTGATTTTCTGGAGGATAAAAAATTCTCAATTTGTCTGTCATAGTTGACGTGTACCTATGATTAATTACAGGCCTCTCATCTTTTTAAGTGGGAGAACTTGCAAAATTGGTGGCTGACTAAATACTTTTTTCCCCCCACTGTATGTATATATTCTTAAATCCCATTCCTTACTAGTTTTGTGTGTATTGGGTATATGTTGTGAAATTGTTAGATATTACTTGTTAGATATTACTGCACTGTCGGAGCTAGAAGCACAAGCATTTCGCTACACCCGCTAAACACGTGTATGTGACAAATCAAATTTGATTTGATTTGGAAATCTGTCCTTTGGTCTGATGAGTTCAAATTTGAGATTTTTGGTTCCAACCGCTGTGTCTTTGTGAGACGCAGATTAGGCGAATGGATAATCTCTGCATGTGTGGTTCCCACCGTAAAGCATGGAGGAGGAGGTGTGATGGTGTGGGGGTGTTTTGCTGGTGACACTGTTGGTGATTTATTTAGAATTCAAGGCACACTTAACCAGCATGGGTACCACAGCATTCTGCAGCGATACGCCATCCCATCTGGTTTGCGCTTAGTGGAACTATCATTTGTTTTTCAACAAGACAATGACCCAAAACACACCTCCAGGCTGTGTAAGGGCTATTTGACCAAGAAGAAGAGTGATGGAGTGCTGCATCAGATGACCTGGCCTCCACAATCACCCAACCTCAACCCAATTGAGATGGTTTGGGATGAGTTGGACCACAGATTGAAAGAAAAGCGGCCGACAAGTGCTCAGCATGTGTGGGAACTCCTTCAAGACTGTTGGAAAAGCATTCCTCATGAAGCTGGTTGAGAGAATGCCAAGAGTGTGCAAAGCTGTGATCAAGGCAAAGGGTGGCTACTTTGAAGAATCTCAAATATAAAATATATTTTGATTTGTTTTACACATTTTTGGTTACTACATGATTCCATGTGTTATTTCATAGTTTTGATAGCTTCACTATTATTCTACAATGTAGAAAATTGTACAAATGAAGAAAAACCTTTGAGTAGGTGTGTCCAAACCTTTGACTGGTACTGTATGCTAATTAAAATTTTGTCCCGATATCTCCACTCCATGTTTCGTCGATGACAATCTGCTCTAAACCTTTAGCAGCATCACACCAATTGGTCTACCACAATTGTTCAAAACTGTTCTTTTAATCTCTTAACCGATCGTATTTATTGGTTCTCAACATGACAGTAGTCATCATAGATGATAGATGACTAGTATATTACAAAGGTATTGTCACAACAAGTTTATGCAATAGACAGAGAAGATGTTTTCCCAGTCTTCTCAAATTACATTAAAAGTAAGCTCCTGCCTCAGCAAATGGGAGAATGGCATATGGAAACGCCTATGACCTTCTCTGCTCACACTCCCCATGTGTAACCCCCTCTAACTTCTGGAACATGGTACACCCACACATTGTCACTTATGCGGGCACGGTTAAGAATAGCTTGTCCCTGGTGCTCACTGTTCTTTTATTTTTATTTTGATCAGTTCTTTTATTATATATATGTTTTTTTTACGTCACGCAATGTTCTACACGTTCACAGGGGAGTTATTCAAGACCATCTCAATGAGACATTTCCGTGACCAGAGGCTTAACCTATATCTTTCCGCTCATGTTACATAATAGTAGTCAAATCAAATTAAATGTCAGTGATTTTATTCAGCTTGTTTTGTTGGGTGAGTTTATCGAGTACCATGTTGGATTCAACACACTCTAGTCAATAGACATATTTAGAAGGGGTGAAAAATACATTCAAAATAAATATTTGTAGCCTATTTATAGGATGATGGTGCAATGCATGACATGAGCATGAAACATCAAACAGTGGGTTTGACTGTACCACAGAGGGTGTTGTGGATGCTCGATAGGAGTTTGATCAATCCACTGAAGTGCTCTGATATGACCACAGGCGATAAGTGGGCTACACCGCAAGACAGGTGGTCTGCTTTATGAAGCCAACGCTGGCTCTGTTGTAGTACTTTTTACTGGTAAACACTGTCAGGGGTGTGTTGACTTTACAGGGTATGGTGTTTACTCTTAAGGAAACATTTCTCTGGTGTGACCTCTTTGGGACAGTCACATGGGGGGCCTGTGGATCTCTGCTGAATGTACCCCTGGCCCTGTCAGATTTCTGTCACTGCGGGAAGGGACATGGCTCCTAGTGTGACATGACGAATGCAGCAGCTGGTGGTGGGGGCTATTTTCTCAGAAAAAAGCCTGACAAACAAGCAGGGAGGAATGTGTGCCCTGGTCTGTGGGAGGGATCAGGTGTCGCTGGCTGTGAAGGGCTGGTATAAAGGACAAGGCTGCTATTCCCCAGTCAGAACAGATATCAGCACTTCAGCGGACTCTGAAGCATCAGCTACCAAAAGGATAGGCTCAGCCCTCAGCCTCCATAGGTATTGGCTTGTTAAAGCCTATAGGGAACGAAGAAAAGTTGTCAAGGACCCACTGCGAAGTTTGAGAAGGCTGTGTCGAAAAACAAAAAAAAACCCTCAAATTTAAGGAGAAGCCTATTCCAGCATGGACATCCAGAGGACCGGCTCGTTGGTGCGTCCACCCAGCCCCATGGAGAGCCTGGAGAAGCAGCTGAGCTGCCCTATCTGCCTGGAGATGTTCACTAAGCCCGTGGTCATCCTGCCCTGCCAGCACAACCTGTGCCGTGGCTGTGCCAGCGACCTCTACGACTCACGCAACCCCTACCGCTTCTCGGGCGGCGTCTTCCGCTGCCCCACCTGCCGCTTCGAGGTGGTCCTGGACCGCCACGGCGTGCACGGACTTCAGCGCAACCTGCTAGTGGAGAACATAATCGACATCTACAAGCAACAGCAGGAGGATGGCGGGTGTAGTGGCATTGGAGGCAGCACAGAGACTCCACTGAAGCCCAAGGACTCCAAGGAACCCATGTGCCAGGAGCACGAGGAGGAGAAGATCAACATCTACTGCGTGACCTGCCAGATGCCCACTTGCTCCATGTGCAAGGTGTTTGGCCAGCACAAGGACTGTGAGGTGTCGCCACTGGCCAGTGTCTACCAGGTGCAGAAGGGCGAGCTGAGCAACGCTATCGACACCCTGGTGGCGGGCAACGGGCGCCTTCAGGCCCTGCTCAACCAGATGGAGGATGCCTGCCAGGCGGTGCAGGACAACGCACAGCGAGCCAAGCAAAGCCTAGGTGAGCGCTTTGACCTGCTCTACGCAGTGCTGGAGGAGCGCAAAGGCCTGCTGCTGGAACAGATCGGCAAGGAGCAGGACGAGAAGGTGACTGCGTTGCGGGCGCTGGCCCAGCGCTACGGCGAGCGACTGCAGGCGGGATCAGAGCTGACGGACACAGCGGTACGGGCCCTGGAGCAGAGCGGTGCTGCAGAGTTCCTGCTGGCCTCCAAGGGCCTTATCACACAGACCAAGGACACCGCCAAGAGCTCCCTGGGCGAGGAGAGGCCCGAGCCAGGCTTCGAGAAGATGGACCATTTCACGCTTTCCACAGAGCACGTGGAGGCCATCCTGGCCAAGATGGACTTTGGAATGGTCGAAGACGATGCGTTTGAGGATGCCGAAGGGGACAAAGAAGAGGAGGAGGAGTGATGAAACTTGAAAATATGCGAACTGAACAAACAAATAAACAAACTATTTACTACTTTTGAAGGTTCTTTTAACCTGAATGTTCCTGGCAGGGACTCTAGTTGCAATGTTTCTGTGATATTAATAGAAGTTAGGAGTGAAGAAGTTGGTGGTGTCTAAATGTTTTCATAAGGAGTTGATTGACTTGGATACCATGGCTTTCCCCAGTTTTGAGTTTAATATTTTAGTTTTTTTTGTACTCTTAACTTTGCCATTTTGTAAACTATAATAGTTTTTTATACTTTTGTATTTCCATATCAGATTTATTCTGATCTATTTATGTACTTTAGGTTGAATATCCTCAGATTGTTTACACTTGAATAGTTTATCACATGTAAAGATTGAGATGGGAAAAGTTTTGATTTGGAGTTTTGCATCTAGAATGCCTATGGTTGAATCAAATTGATAAATGATTGCATGCACTAAACTGGCAACAGAATATTTCAACAGATCTGACTTCATCACAACCTGAAATAAAGGGTGTTTCAAATGACTCAAGCAGATTTGCCTTTGTTTAGATTCCAATTATTCCAAGATTGCCATTTGTTTCAACTTCGTTCAAGTTAAAGAAAAATATGCATGTGTACCCAGAAAATCAGTTTGAAGTTCAAAACAAAATATTTCGCAAGTGAACTGTCATTCAGGAGTTGCCCCAATATGTTGTTGCTCTCACTTGGCAAGTACCAGCATAAAAAAATAAAAGCCATTGCCAAGTCCTTAGTGGCTAGCCTTTGCTGATGAAGAGTGGGGGGCTATTTTTAAAATGTGAGAGGGTGTGAAACGACAGGCCCTGGAGTGTCAGTGACGGGCAGAGAGTCCTCAGTTGCAAGCCTTTTCTGGTGAAAGAGTGGGGGGCTATTTATTTTTTATGTGAGGGTGTGAAACAACAGGCTCAAGAGTGTCAGTGAAGGGCAGGTGGGGGTCCTGTTTCTCATCCATGAAGCACCATCCCGCTCATGTCATAGACTGTATTGCTCAGCAACTACAAACTCCTTTCTGAAGAGCGGTAGGGGCAGGCCCACCAGACATGAGTCATCTGGGGATTGCACCCTATCGGTCAGTGGGCCGCAAAAAAATAGGACTATACACACCGAGGTGACCATGTTACAAAAATGTCCTTGCGATGACCTGGTTCAATGGCTTCAAATATGTTTTAATAGTCCCCAACATCTTTTTTTCAAATTGATACTGTGATGCATGTTGGGTATTTTGTAGGTCAACTTTAAAATACAGGACCAGTCAACCCTTTTCAAATATACTAAGGCACACCAGTTGATAATGCTCTGGCTCTCAAATGTACCATATTCAGTAGGCTACATAATGTGGTTGGAAGGATATCAGTTGATTTTTCTGGGCTAAAGCCATGGCCGTTGCTTTTCTCATTATTTTTCTCACAGGTTTAGTCTTCAGATGAACAGTGTGTTCATTAGGAAGAAACTTGACAACACACACACACACACACACACACACACACACTACAGCTTAGTTTGCCAGGTTCACAAGTGCTTTTCTGGCTGTCTTACTTCATGCTTTCAGATTCCATTGTAAAGTCGTTTTCATTCTCCCCTTAACAAGTCCTGTAGTTAACACCACATGTCGCTTTTGTTCAGAAAATGAAATAATATTAATAACAGGAAGGTCTTTGGGGAGAAGAAAGGGGGAAGAACCCCGGACGGGCACCGCGCCCGTCGTCGCAGCTGTCTCCGCTCATTCCAGTTGTTATCGCCACTAACGCTCTTGTAGCGAATGAGGGGTTGTTGTTGGTACACAGACTGTTGCTAGGCAATAAAGTGCGGAAGGCCGATAACTTGGGGCTTGTTTATCGAAGCTGTCATTGCAGCAACAAACAAATCCAAACCAGCAAATCCAGCTAAAAACAAAGGTGTAAGCTAAAGTCTGGTTTGCTGTCAGCTGTGAGGCTATATTGTTTTTTCAATGTTGTTATAAGGAGCAGTTGACTCAGAACCAAATCATACCTTGTTCTGTGCTCTCCTTTTCCTTATCTCCGCCTTGCACTGTAGGCCTATTTGACTTGCTATTTCTCAGTCCGTGTATAGCCAAATGGTTATCAGCACTTCTACATGAGTAGTACAAGAATGTAGCTTTTTGAACATAGGGCAGGACTCCACTTTTTGCAGTTTACATGAGGCGGTATTTGATTTTGTTGCATGTTTGAAAGACGGAAATTGTCCCTCTCTTAAATGCATATATCTCATGTGTACTTATCTTTACTTCCACAGAGACCACACGTAGGAGGGCGTATGGCCTGGTGGCCCAGGCGTACACCTCCATCACGGCAGAAGACTTTGCAGCCTTTGTGGGCTACTCTGTGGAGGAAGCTGTGAAGGGTAAGCAGCTGGAGTGCAGAAAACCTAATCTACCCTCACTACTCACCTGGCTACTGGATCAATAACACAGTCATATACCATAGTTATGTATATCCTTAAACTCATTTTTATCAGTAGAGGCAGAGAAAGGTAAATTGTTCATGTAGGCAAGGCTAAAGCTGGTTAATTGTCACATATTTCTTTTCTAGAGTTGAAACACCGGAAAATAGTCTCTAACTATTCCCTTTTCCCCTCTCTGTCCGTTTCGTTTCCCCTCCTATTCTCCACCCAACCCTCCTCACTCTCTTCGGTTTCTTTCTCTCCCTTCCACAGGGGTGGTGAGCCAGGGCTGGCAGGCGGACCCTGCCACCAGGATGGTAATGCCCCAGAAACCAGGTAGGTGGAGCTGTTGCTCTTCTCTTTTCTCCCATCAGTAGGCTGTTTGTCATGCCGAGTCTCTTTTCCCAACTTTGCCCAATCACGACCTCTTCCTGTGCTAATAGCACATTCTACCAGACTGTCATTCCCCCTATGCTCCATTTAACCATATGCCCATTCAGTGTGTGTGTGTGTGTGTGTGTGTGTGTGTGTGTGCGTATGAACCCGATCCAGAGCTGTGCATTTTTGGGTCATTCATAATCAGCTCAGACACTGACTCCACTCCTCCTCATCGCCTTTCACTTTCCCTCCTCTCTGTCTTTCTCCTGTATTCGTGGCCTCTAATTTATTTTTCTCACATTTTCTCCCTCATATTGCTGTTCTTTCCTTTGGCTGGCCTGTAAGACATTCTGTCCCTGTGTAACTGGGAAAACACATGTCCCATAAAAGAGCAACATCAAATATCCCTCTCTTTCTCACACACCATGTGTGTGAGAAATATCCCCACTCCCACTCGTTCTTTCTCCTGTGTTCTTTCATTCACCCACGCTCAATCGTTGTTCCTATCCCTGTTCTCCTCCCTTCCCTTCCTTCCTCTTCCCCCCCTACTTCTCCATCCAATCATAACTGTCTACAAGCCCAGTGGGTGGCTTGTTGATCAGCCTGGTTTGAGATGTATTTATTTATGCAAACATTTTGTGGGCTGTGTCTGGGGCCATGTAACAGCCTCTCTCTCTAATCAGCAGGCCATCATGTTAAGCATCTGTGGCGCATATGTCCGTCTGACTCGATGCATCAGCCCCTCGATTTATCCTCTTACACCTACACTGAACAAAACTATAAATCCAACATGTAACAATTTCAGCCATGGGTGGGCCTGGCAGGGCATAGGCCTACCCACTTGGGAGCCAGGCCCAGCCAATCCAAATTGGTTTTTGCCCACAAAAGGGCTTTAGAATAGACATAAATAATGTATTGGCTGTGCATGGGAAGCAAAACTTCTGGGGTGTATTCATTTGTGCACACTAGCAAACAGTATCAAAACGAGAAAGATCATTCACGTCCAGATGTGCAACTTATGTGTCACCAGCATTGCAGTGAAAAGAGATGTACTGTGCTGCTTAATCTTTGAATTGGAGCATGTCCCCTTTCTTCTAACCTCCTACACACACACACACACACACACACACACACACAGATGGGGGATGCTACATTGTAAAAGACTTGGCTCTATGAGGAATCCCCCTCTTACTCACTCTCTCCTCTCTCTCTCTCCCCCTCTCTCTCCCCCAAACAGATCTTCCCCCTGTCTCGCTGGTTCCAAACGAGCAGCAGCTGGCCAGACTCACTGACTACGTGGCTTTCCTTGAGAACTGATCAATTCCCTTCACCTCCGTTTGTCTGCTGTGAGGAGGACTCCAGAACGCCCCTCTTCCAGAGCTTAGATGGACACACACACACACATACAGGACCTCAAGCTCACCCCCCTTGTGCATGTTTGTGGTCATGTCTCTGCAAAGGAGACACCATGTTTTCAGAAAGATGGGCCTCGGACTTATGATTAAGTTCATACACCAACTAACTTGGTTGTTGGGCAGTCCTTAGTAAGTGGCAGTCTCAATGTGGCAGTCTCAATGATTGTAGTAGTTCATTTAATGTTATTTCTGTAAGTAAAACAATACATTTTTCACGTGCAGGTTGACAGAATTTGATTGTTTGCAGCCGCCCGACTATATGTGAAAATCTGAGGCCGGCACCCATCCCTAACCCGCAAATCGGCCAATAGAAAATCCCCGTACAATCAGACGGCTGAACAATTGTTTGACAGGGGGTGCAGGATTTATTTTTTAATGAATCATTTCCAACATTTTGGTAGGCTATTTGTTAGTCAACTTGTCTATAATTAGATGCATGCAACTTCTCTTAATAATAATAATAATAATATGCCATTTAGCAGACGCTTTTATCCAAAGCGACTCTCTTCTGACAGTACTTGTTGCCCCAGAAGACTAAATAAACTCTTGCTCACCAGAATGCCGTAAATTGATGAACACTTCAATCTTGTTGACATCTGTAAAGTTTTGTCTTTCATCTCTGCTTCTCTCCTGCAGCAGATGTTTAGGGACCCCAAAAATAATGTAAAAAAATAATTTTCGGTGCAAAATGTCCACATTTACATTTACAATTTAGTCATTTAGCAGACGCTCTTATCCAGAGCGACTTACAATTAGTGAGTACATACATTATATATATTTTTTTAATCATACTGGCTCCCCCGTGGGAATTGAACCCACAACCCTGGCGTTGCAAGCGCCATTTACATCAATTTGACCAGTTTTAAGGAAATTAAAAGCAGTGAAAAAGACCCAACATGTTTCTGATAAGATTTCAGTTCAACCTGGATGCATATTTTATATGGTTCAAATACTATCAGCTTTTATGATGCTGATAAAGATAGCGCCTTTACAGACGGTCCCTAACCGCACATTAATTCTCTCAAGATACAAAAAATTATAATAATATTTCAATATTCACTCCTGTTCCCAAGTTAAAATGTACATTTGGTGTATTATTTTACTGCAAGAAATGCTTAACTTTTCAGGAGTTAATATTAGGCTATGTGAGAGGTTATAAACCTACACTACATGACCAAAAAGTATGTGGACACCTGCTCATCGAACATCTAATTCCAAAATCATGGGCATTAATATGGAGTTGGGTCCCCCCTTTGCTGCTATAACAGGCTTTCCACTAGATGTTGGAACATTGCTGCGGGGACTTGCTTCCATTCAGCCACGAGCATTAGTGAGGTCGGGCACTGATGTTGGGCGATTAGGCCTGGCTCGCAGTCGCCGTTCTAATTAATCTCAAAGGTGTCCGATGGGGTTGAGGTCAGGGCTCTGTGAAGGCCAGTCAAGTTCTTCCACACAGATCTCGACAAGCCATATCTGTATGGACCTCGCTTTGTGCACGGGGGCTTTGTTATGCTGAAACAGGAAAGGGCCTTCCCCAAACTGTTACCACAAAGTTGGAAGCACAGAATCTTCTAGAATGTCATTGTATGCTGTAGTGTTCACTGGAACTAAGGGCCTAGCCCGAACCATGAAAAACAGCCCCACACCATTATTCCTCCATAAAACGTTACAGTTGGCACTGCATTGTGGCAGGTAGCGTTCTCCTGGCATCCGCCGAACCCAGATTCGTCCGTCGGACTGCCAGATGGTGAAGAGTGATTCATCACTCCGGAGAACGAGTTTCCACTGCTCCAGAGTCCAATGGCGGCAAGCTTTACACCACTCCAGCCGACGCTTGGCATTGCGCATGGTGATCTTAGGCTTGTGTGTGACTGCTCTGCCATGGCAACCCATTTCATGAAGCTCTCAACGAACAGTTCTTGTGCTGACATTGCTTCCAGAGGCAGTTTGGAACTCGGTAGTAAGTGTTGCAACTGAGGACAGACAATTTTTTACGCGCTTCAGCACTCAGTGGTCCCGTTCTTTGAGCTTGTGTGGCCTACCACTTCACGGCTGAGCCGTTGTTGCTCTTAGACATTTCCACATCACAATAATAGCACTTACAGTTGACCGGGGCAGCTCTAGCAGGGAATACATTTTACGAACAGACTTGTTGGAAAGGTGGCATCCTATGATGGTGCCATGTTGAAAGTCACTTCAGTAAGGTAATTCTACTGCCAATGTTTGTCTATGGAGATTGCATGGCGGTGTGCTCTGTTTTATACACCTTTCAGCAACGGGTGTGGCTGAAATAGTCAAATCCACTAATTTGAAGGGTTGTCTACATACTTTTGTATATATAGTGTATCAATGTTCACCAAAATTACAATCTGTTCTGAATTGCCCCGTGAAAGCCTAACACTGTAAGATCATATTTTATGACTTAGCTAGTCATGTTGGCAATAGAACAAGTTTTAAAATTATGCCCACCTGACCCAGATTGCGATTTATAATGGGCTGTTTTTGGACTGTGTAAACAACAACTGTAATTGTGTGATGGCGGGATGAAGGGTTGTTCCAAATGAAACAACTACAAGTGTGTTTGTGCTACTTTCTCAATGGCACAGCTAGGAGAGCTCACCTTATAGTTGAAGACTCTTTGAGTCATAAAAGTGCATTGAAATTGTGCACACTTTGGAGAGGTGTGTAGCCATTTGGAGACACCAATTAGTCCTCTCACTCAAACCCTTTTACCTACGGTATACATGCACTTTAGACTGAATCCTAATTTGATAAACGCATGTGTAATTAAAGTGTTGCATATTCCTAAAGTGTTCGGCCACAACACATGGTCCTGTCTATGGTGTGCCAGTGTCAGTCAGCACATACAGTGCCTGAGGCAGAGATGGTGGTAACTGGACCCGATCACTATTCAGTGAATCTGTTACTGCCTGACCTTGTCTGACATGCATATCAACAGTGCGCGTCAACCACACGGGGGTCAGCCATAAAGTTCTATTGGGCAAGGAATCATCACTATATTTGAACTTGGTGACAGAGAGGGTAGACAAAGATAGGGTCGTTTCTGAGGGGTTCGAGATCAAGCTGACTGTACCATGAATGTTTGAACTACTTACCATTTTGCCAACAGCAAGTAATTACTCACTTTAATATGCATGTAATGATGAGCAGAGGAGACTTTGATATGGGACAAAATAATGACTGTTACACTTCCCACATAAAGCATTTGCACGCCACCACATCAAATGAAAATAATCAGCAGTTAACTACTAATTCTTCCACATGGAACTAATGCAAATATAATACCCCTTTGTGGACATGCTTTCTTTAGCTATGAATTTAAACATCCTCCTGAGTTGCTGTTTTCCATGTTCTTCCTTTTTTCATTGAGTTTGTTAGTAGGCTTATATAGAGGTTTAGCAGCTGTGGTCATGGGGAAGCCCAGTCCTATCACAATGTTATGCCTACAGTCATTACACTCGCTGGAAAGTATTTGCAATGGAGTTCAGCATTATTGCTGTGACTCACAACCGTTAAAATGGCATGGGACTTGTAACGTTAATGATTTCCGAGATTCGATATCAACAGGTGCAAACTTCATAACATTGGACTCAATGTCAGACAAACAGCAGCTTGGGGCCCAAATTAAACTGAGTCGTTCTTTTTGATTGAAGCTCCACCTTCATTTTTTGGCTGCTTACAATAGGTACAGCTGAAAGCTGTGACAGCTGAAAGATTACATATAAAAAATAGTGCAGTGACGACAGCAGTCTGGACAGACTTGTTGAAATGTGACTGGATTGAATTTCCAGTTGCTCAAAATGCTTTAAATTGTGTGGGGGGGGCGCGCGCCTAATCCACTACCAATGCGCCCAACTGGGGGATGCCACGGCATCACACAATAACCTCCACACTAACCTCCGTTCAACTCACTATTCCCAGTGGACTCCTGGGCCTCTCAGAAATCATACCCTGTTCGATAGCCTTTTGTGATGTGATAAGTATTGATGGGCCAGCCCAGCTTTACTGCACCATAACATCATACTGGAAACCTGAAAGGAATGCAGATGTTGTGAAGCTGCTGGGGGAGAGGCTTTGAAGTGAGGACAGAGTTCAAGAGTTCACAGACGTGCAGACTAGAGGTCTTCACGGGTCCAAAAATGTGACCTGTTCCAAATGGACCCGAGGACAGTAAGACTGTGAAGCAGAAGCCGGCGTGGCAGATCCTACAGTGAGGAGACAGACAGGATGTTCTGGTGCTCACCTCTCTTAGAGGCTTTTATCTACAATATTAAGGTGCAGTACGAATTCGCCAATACACTTTGTACAGAAAATAACAAACAGGACATTGACATAAAGACTAAATAGAAGAATAAATAAAATATATGCTCAGTATAAACTATTCAGGCAACAACTCTTTGCCTATAACAAAACCTCTTACCTGCTCAGCATGCTCTCGCCACAGGCAAAGGCCAACTAATAATTAATCACTGGTTATTCCCATCAACCAATAAATGTTTGTCGATGACTCGCTGACTAATTTGCGCGTCATGCGTAATGCACACCGCCACTTCAATAAGGAAACAGCGCAGAGCTTCAAACAAACACATCAGGTAGGTTCAATTATATGATTATTCTCTACCAACACTTTAATTGTTATTCTAATATATTTCACATTGATACAGGTGTCCTACCTAACTCAGTTGCCGGAGAGGAAGGACACCACTCAGGGATTTCACCATGAGGCCAATGGTGACTTTAAAAAATGAGTTTAATGGCTGTGATAGAAAACTGAGGATGGATCAACAACATTGTAGTTACTCCACAATACTAACCTAAATGAAAAGAAGGAAGCCTGTACAGAATAAAAAAATATATATTTTTAAATGCATCCTGTTT